AGCTGGGATGGGATTGAAAAGAATATTTGAACTGTAGGATCTGTAGAAAACTGACATGACAGCGGTAGGACGGATAGAGCCGGTGTAAGACTGGGCGATATACGTATCTCTTGAGATTAACAAAGTTGAAGGGTATTGAGCAATTCATTAGACGTTTAAGTTTAGCTTCGAGTTCTTCCGAGAGTCCACCATACAGACGTAGTCGAAGTTGGGGAAAACAAGGGATGAAACCAGGAGTTGACGGGACTTGTATGGAAGGAGATAACATAGATGGTTTACCTGTTTCAGGATGGAAATAGTACGGCGGGAAATTTAGGAAATGTGTGGTTTCCAGGAGAGGGTTTGATCGAGGGAAGTATGGAAGGACGTATAAACTTTCTCTGTCTATTTCATATTTATGTACTTTATTTTTATTTTATTTTTTTTATTTATTTATTTTTTTTCCTACCCCCCAGGAATTTCTTGAATAAATTCAGTATGTATATAAATGTATATATACATAAATTTTCAACTTTCCTTTTATTGCCCAAGGGCATTTTAAGTTAAGAGGGCTCTGCACGCTGTATGCGTTCTTTGCATTTGTGGCCAGAGGCCTTTTATTATACCACTGGGCGTGGAGGGACCGCCCTGTACTTTATTTTATTTTGCTTCCTCACTACTGAAGGTAGGGAAGCATTGTGTTAGTGCGAGAGATTAAAAAATTGTATGCTCAGAATCGAAAATTTCCACTCACGTTTTACGTTTCAGACACCAAGGATCAAATTTGGTTCGCCATCTTTCTGTCTGTAGTCATATCGACGTAACGTGCATATCACCTACTACCGTTTATCCGATTTTCAGAGATTGTGCGGGTCGGTGTAAATTGATAATCAATTTAATCAAATTCCATCCAGCGCTTTCGCTTACGCACGCGCAACCGTATTTTTTTTAGATATGCCAACATTTCAGAAACGGCTAGTTCCATTTCGCTCAAAGTTAAACAAATGGTATCAATAAAACAATAACGCAGTATCAATTTCATTGAAATATGTTTTCCACTTAATGTTATATATGCGTAAACTTGTTTTCCTTGATACGTCTATATCTCTAAAACCGCACGTTCGATTTGGATCAAAGTTAGGGATTGGTTAACAAATAATTAAGCGAATATCAATTTTATATATTTCTATCCACTACTCTAAAAAAAAAATACTTACGCCTTCTGATTAGTAAATCTATTATTTGACACGCCTATAATCTGAAAACGGCTAGTTCAATTTGACTCAATCTTGGAGGAAATTCGGAGAACATTATAGAAATTGTATAGTAAGAATTTGATTGAATTCCATTTAATAATTAAAATTAATATAAATAACTGTTAACAGTATAATGAAATGTGGCTGTGAAATGTGGAAGGCATTGGTCATGTGTAATGAGGACTAGTTAATACAATATTTTTATGGGGTTATAAAATTTAATAAGGTTTTATTAAAAAGTTGTTTTTATATTTATATTTAAATTTATACTGTATTCTTTGGTGGCTTCCAAATTTTTCTAGTACGATGCATACTGTCGGTATTTAGATTTTGTGTAGTTTTAAATAAATTTAAATTAATTCTTATTCTGAGTTTGTAAAAAAAATTAGTCGTATTTATGATTGTGTTTATTTCTATTGAACTTTAATCAGCTCGTCGTGGTGTCGATTTTATCCTTAAACTTCAAAGTTGTGAGAACTTCACTCATATTTTTATATTCCAACTTAAATTAATTTCGTTCTGACTGAAGAAAAGTATTGGTCTCATTAACTCCGAACAAACAAAAAGTTGAATTATTCCTATGGATCTTTTGTTCCATTCATTTTACGTGTGAAAACATACCTATTAAGTATATATAAATATTATTAATACAAAAGGTGGTATGTACAAATTTTCAATTTTATTCTATATGTGACATTTTGTAGTCTGTAACTGATATAATAATAATAATAATAATCCTTTATTTATTCTGGGACGAGCCCCTTTAGAATAATACAGAAAGACAAAAATATGGGCTAAGAAGCTTCAGAGATACATAAACAAAAATATAGAGTAAGTAAATAGTCAAAATAATAGAAATTATAAGTTAATTTCTAATTTAAATCAGTTTATAATAAAAATAAAAAAATTGAAAATAAACATGTAGTAATAATGATGAAGAACGTTCTAAAAACAATATAAGTAGTCTGCTACGAAGGAAAGTATTAGAGGGCAATAAAATATGAAATTATACTAATACATCATGAAGAAATTATTAGTTTTTCTATCTCATGTAAAACACTCAATTTTTTAATACGGTCTTTTTGCACTGAAAGCCTGATATGCATGTTCAGTATGTCCTGAATTTTTTTGTATTAATCATGAATTATCAAATATGCAATCTGCAAATGTGGAACTCTTTCGCATTTTTGTATTTGCTGATGAACAAAACTCGTGGATATCAAAGGTGTATATGTTGAGGGATTACTGAATTTCCGAAAACGGCTTCTCCCAGAGATTTAATTCTCATACGAAAAAATTTGGATTTTGTAATATAAATTTTTTTTTTTAGCTAATGAAAACGGTGAGGAAGCTGTACTGACCTTACTTTGCAGATCTTTTTTTTTAATTTTATTTTTTTTATTCGTTTTGATTTTACAAAAAAATCAATTTTGAATTTTAGTTTAAACTTGACCTATATATTGTCTAAAGAGTCGTAGAACAGAAGACCAACGAAATACGGCAGGAAAGGACATAAAACGATACAAATATTTTTTCAAAGTCAAACATGATCTTTGCAATTCAAATCCATCCATTTTTCAAAGGTTCCATTTGACTTGGAAATGATAGATAACTTGCATCATACTATTGATACTCGCTGGCACGTGCGAAAAATTTTCATAAATATTTGATAAAGAATTTTTAATTTCAGTAATACGCACATGGGGGCTTTCGGGCTGAAGGCTTGCTGCCAACCAAAATGGTAAGATATAACCATGTCTTATGGAAGAAATATTAAAACATTACTTCTAAAAGTATTATTGTTCGTGTAATTACATTTAATAGGACTTAAGCACCATTTTATGTAGTTAGTTAGTTTCTTTCTTCTTCTTTAAAAGTGATAATCGGCAAGTAATAATTATAATTTTTATATAACAATATTTCGGGCTGAAGCTCCCCCCAAAATTAAATCCTGGATCCTTTAATGGTAGTACGCGTACATCGACCAGTGAACTAATGACAATACGCTATAGAAATAATAATGACCCAAACTTGGAGGAAATTTGGAGAACAGTATAGAAATTACTTAGTATCAATTTCATTGAATTCCATTTAATAATTAAAATTAATATAAATATTTGTTAACAATATAATGGCTGTGAAATATTGAAGACACTGATCATATGGAGTTGGAGTTAGGTTATTACAATATTGTTATGGAGTTATAAAATTTTATAATTTATTCAAAAAAATTAATTGATACTGTATTGTTTGCTCGATTCCAAACGTTACAGGCATGACACTTACTGCAGTTAATTAGATTTTGTGTAATTTTCAATAAATTTAAAGTAATTTTTACTCTGAGTTTGTCAAAGAAACGTCTTATTTGTGATTGTATTTATTTCCATTGGAGTTCAACCAGTTCGTCTTGGTCTCGATTTCCTCCTTAAATATCTAAGTTGTGTGAACTTCACCCATATTTTTATATTTTCTGCCTTAATGCGTTTAGTTCTGACTAAAGAAAAGTATTGGTCTCGTTAACTCCGAACAAACAACAAGTTAAATTTTTCCTAGGGATTTTCTAGTTTCATCCATTTTACGAGTGAAAACATACCTATTAAGTATATATCACTACTATTAGTACAACATCAGTTCGGATTTCGTTCTCAACACTCACCACTCCATCAAGGACTTCGAGTGGTCGATCATATTTCCGCAGCCCTGGAAAGCAAGCAATATTGCTCGGGTGCATTTCTGGACATAGCTCAAGCTTTCGACCGGGTATGGCACGCCGGGATTCTTTTCAAGCTGAAAACCCATCTACCCCAATCCTTGTAACTAATCCTCCGCTCCTACCTCTCTGATCGCACCTTTCGAGTTCGCTGCGGCACTGAATTTTCCAATTGCTATCCAGTTGAGGCTGGTGTTCCTCAAGGTAGCGTATTGGATCTCGTTCTTTACCGCCGATATCCCTGTCCATCCCGATACCTTCCTGGCAACTTTTGCTGATGACACCGCCATTCTATCATCCGACTCAGATCCTGATGTAGCATCCTTAAACCTTCAAAGACACCTCTCCCAGATTGAGCACTGGTGTAATAAATGGCGTATTAAAGTAAATGAATCCAAATGTCAACACATTACCTTCACACCAGTGCACTTTAATTCCATTCAGCTTCCTTTCTCAGACACAATCCGGTATTTTGGCTTTCTCTTAGACAAACGACTAACGTGGAACCTTCATACTAGACTTAAAAGACAAGAACTTAATCGAAGATACGGCCAGCTATACAGACTACTAAATTGAAAATCTAAACTTTCTATTGAAAATAAAATACTCATCAACAAGACAATGCTGAAACCTACTTGGATTTACGGACTTGAACTGTGGGGAACAGCAAAATGTTCTTTCATCAAACGCATCCAATCCTTCCTGTCCAAAGTCCTTCGAACAATAGTGGATACTCCTTTCTATGTAACCAACAAAACCCTACACTATGACCGTAATAATTGTTCCAGACCTTATCCCAGCAAAATTCTTCAAATTTCGCCAGAACCTTGCCTATCATCCGAATCCCTTTGCACAATCCCTATGCAGCACCACTCATCCCTATAATCCTCCAAGAAGACGGTAGTGGCCCCGCGATATTTTATATTTTGTAATATTGTAAGTTCTGGCAATGGCCACACACCACATGAGTACTGGGTAACTAAATCTCTCCTGGGTTGAGTGGCACGGTTGAGAGAGAAGTGCAGGGATCTCCTGAAATCATGCTTTTCTCTCTACAGTTGGAAGGACAAGTCTGGCTCGGAGTTCTCTCGCCTAATTGTAAATAGTGTATATAGTTATGTACGTGTTCTTTTTTATTTATTTTTTAGGTATTTTTATTCTTATTTATTGTATATATATATTATTTATAATAAATAATACAAGTTCTGTATAATTTATTTTATTTATTGTACATTGAGCGTGAATGTGATCTCTGAACACTTATAAATGTCCTTTGAGATAGATTATAATATTTTTCAATAAACAAGTAAAAAAAAAATAAAAAAATATTAGTGCAAAAGGTGACATTTTACAGTTTGCAATTGATATAAGTAGTCTGCTACTATGGAAAAGAGCAGATGACAATAAAATATGAAATTATACTAATAAAGCATAAAGAAATAATGAACTTTAATGCTCTCTTGTAAAACAATCAATTTTTACCTACGACCTCTTGCACTAACAGTAGTGAAATGCATGTTCCGTATGCATTTTTTTTAAATTAATGATAATCAAATATAGAATCTTCAAATAAGGCACTCTTTCGCATTTTAATATTAGCTGATAAACGAAATTCGTGGACATCAAACCCACGAATGTTTTAACTGTATTTCCGAATCGGCTTCTCCCAGAGATTTTATTCTCATACGAAAAATCGTATTCCTTGTAATATTTTAGCCAATGAAAACGGTGAGGAAGCTTTTTTATGTCTACGTGGTCTATCCAATACTTTCTCTTACGCATGCGTAAATTTATTTTATTAGGCATGCCCTCAATCCACTCAATTTCCTGTTCCTGACCTCTATATCCCCTCCATAGGACAAAAACCTATGAACGTTCCTTCTTAGCCCAGTTCGCTAACTTCTGGAATAATTGATTAATTAATGCGAATTAATTAATTCGCTAATTCCTTGCCACATAGCATCCGTCATGTCTGTTCCCTGTAATCTTTCGAATACCTCCTTGCATCCCAATCAGACGATCCACAACCATAAAATTTCTTTTTATGAATTGAATTTATGAGAAGTAAACAATGGTGTCTATTGTTGAAGTTTTGGCATAAAACATCAATGATTTTTGTCACCTTGTTTGATTATTAATTTTACTATTTATTTGTTTTTCTCTTCGCTTCAGGGTTTTCTTATTTATTTCTGGGTATATATATTTATATGTATGTGTTATATTTTTTATTTTTCTCTATTTTTTTCATTTCAACTATAATCACACTTTTTGTTTAACTGTTAACATATTATTATTTAAAGTACTGTACATATAGTTAGAATTTTATAGTGTTAGTTTATTGATTTAGCCTACTGTTTATATTTTACCATCTAAATATAAGCCTTAAAGTTATTACTTTTGTTATCTTATTATATTATTATTTTTTTATTTATCAGTTTATACTTTTTGTCTCTCTCTGTACAAGTATTCCTGAAATTTCCAGTACAAGAAGACTTAATTTTTATTTATTTTAGTGTTTGCATATTATTATGTAAATCACTGTAGATACTATTAAGTCAGTTTTTTATTAGTTAGCCTATTGTTTATAAATTGTGTAGTTATGTACATATAAATATGTAATTTCTATTTTTTTTTCTTGTTCTATCACAATAATAAGTATTTTTGAGAAGATCTTATGTTAATTTTTTTTTGTTTCTTGTTTAGTATTCTCTCCAAATATTCTCATATCGATTCGTGATAATGATATTACGAATCAATTTTTGTTTTAAGTCCGGTTTTATGCTTTAGTTTTTTAATGTTCGGGTCAGTTGTTTCTATTAATTTGACCGTTGAATAAATATGAATCTTAATTTCTCAAATTTGCAGTTTAATGGGATTTAAGACTAATTGGTTTAAGACTAAAAGAAAATTTTTAATGATAAAATATTAAAAACTTTAACTTTTATATCGTGTAATTCATCAACTTCATCTCCATCTTTTAAACCGGTTAAAGAAGTCTTGAAGATATTTTTTATACTTACTTGATTGAACCTGGTCTCATTGAGGAAGGTATCGCTAGAATTGGCGTGACCCATGTTCCTTACCATCATCAAGGCAGTCTTTGTCGGGAACTCGTTCCTAGAGAGCGTTCTGAAGTTTAAGATGTCGATGTGGTTGGGCAAGGGTTGGTTCAGGAGGACCAGTGACATCGTGGGGGTTTCCATTTTGGTCACTATGATCGGTGCTGGGTTATTCAGCCGAACGACCAGATCGTTGAGGAGTCGTCTCGAACTGATTTCTGATCTGAGAAGAACTAGATAAAGCGTGGATGTGGTCTGGACCTTGTCGTTCATCGCTTCGTCGAGGCCCCTGCTATCATCTATCGTCATCCTCCTGTCGAGCATCACTTCGATGCAGCCGTCCCGGGCGCTGGCCACGCCGTGCGAATGATCGCTGACGATCGCGAATATCACGTCACCGTTGTCAAGGTACGCCAAGCTCGTCATGGGATGGTAATTACCTTCGATGTACTGTTTATTATTCCTTACTCTTTCTCTCATTTCTAAACCGTTCACGTCCGTATGGAACTGAGTAGAGTTCAAATCAGTCACAAACTGTATGAAAAGTTCTCTATTTACCTCGCTCATGTTGTAGGTTATCTTCAAATCGATAATCTGATTGAGAACTGATTCGGTGCCGTACAGTCGCGTTGTCACAGAATAACCATTGCCATAAGAAACCATAACCTCTTTGAAGATCTCACCATCGATGAATAGCGCGTTGCCATTAGGTTTTTCAGAGATCACGGTCACCCGATTCCTTAAAGGCTTGAACAGATAAGCACCGCTGTTTCCTCTATCAGACGTGTACATGTTCAAGTTCGAAAGCATGAGTACCGAACCGAAATTCTTAGTAATGTTATTTATCATACCATTTTCACCAAAAGTTATCCTCTGATTACAATTTATTATGGAGAGCCCATCCATCTTGTTGTTTCCTTCGTAGTTGACGTATTTCTGCTTGTCGTATTGTTCTTCTATTGAATATAGTTCGTACGCATTTATCGAAAAAGGAGGAAGATAATCGATAAATGTCAATTCGAAGCTCTCCGAGTTCAAATCCCTCCTCTTTGTCAACTGCTCGTTTTCGTAAACACAATTCACTTGAGATATGATCTGATTATTGTTTGCACCTGTTACCATTATGCTGGGATAGTCCGTTTTGATCGCTATTACTTCGGCCCTGTTGTACGGCAGGTTATTGAACACTAGGATTTTTCTTAATACCTTCCTCTGGGGGATCGTGCCGTTCTTGCAGTTGTTCAACATGATTTCCATGCAAGTTTTCTGTATCGCTTTCAATTCGTGTAACGATCTCGACATCTTCGTCTTGTAATCTTCCATCACTTTGACCCTCGAGGTGCCTGTTATCCCATCGTGGTGCTGGAAGAGCGCCGTCGTCCTCCTAGCCCTGACCAATTTCTTGAAATGCTTTGTTAACATTTTGAACGGATTCAAAGTCTTGTTCGAGAAGTTCGTTATCGCATTGAAGGTCAGCGTGAAGAGTATTTCCGTAGACCTCAGCATGGACTCCAGACTCCTCGCCAGTTTCTTCCAGTGCGGCCGGCTGGTGAAATATCCCGTCCAGTACGCCAGTTCGTTATCACCATTCAGATCAGCGTATGGGAAAAAGTCTCCCTGCAGGGTTACGTTATATACGTCTACCTGGAAAGATATAGTATTTATTAATACATATCACATTTATCTTAATTTAAATTCTATGACTTGGAACCCCCATACCAGACTGAAACGACTAGAAACCGCCCGACGTTTGCGACTACTGCAGCACTTACTAGACAAAGATCTAAGCTTTCAATCAATTATAAACGACTCATATATATGATAATAATAAGACCTATTTGGACTTACGGAATTGAGCTTTGGGGCTCCACTAAACCATCGAATTCCTCTCGTATCCAATCCTTACAATCCAAAATCCTTCGTAAAATCCTCAACGCTCCTTACTTAATTACAAATAAAATCATCCATAAAGACCTTAATGTTCCATATAATTCCGATTTGGCCCAATCCAGATACCTGTCCTTCCATAACAAACTGCAGAACCATCCGAATCCTCTCGTTTCAAACCTTGCTTCCTCCTCGATCCCTGATAACCCTCCTAGGCGTCTGAAAAGAAGATGGCCTCGGGGTCTTCTAATATAGAACTTTAATTTGAGTTCTACCAATGGGTAGTTTCTCTTCATGTTGTACATGTCATGTTACCAATTTGACATTTACTTATTGTATTTTCTATGTAATACAGTTGTAAATTCCATTAAAATAATAAATAAAAAATAAAAAAATTCTATGACAAGAACTTCAGTAATGCTACAGTTATACATTGGACTAATGAAATAATAGCATCAAGCTACAGGCTTGAGGGCTATCATTATTGAATAACTGACGTTTGAGCGAAGAAACCTGAGGAAAATGTTTAAACCTATCAAAGACAACTGTCTTACACAGAATAAAACATCGCTACACTTCATGAATTCTACAACGTGGGCATGTCTTAATTAAGAATAAGTTACGCTGGACTAGCCTCGTATCTCGTAAAGACTAATGTTTAACAGTTGCGATTTGTGATCGGGGCCCCAAGATACTGCCATGTTTCTCACCACTACGCTCAGTTAAAGTGGCTTTTCCCCTCCTTCCGAAGACAATATTTCCTAGGTACGTTCCTCTACCAAACCATCAACAACCATCGTCCTTCTTACGCCTACAACCTTCTCCAGTTCCAATCCTCAGTTCATTCCCTGTCCACAAGATCTCGACCTTCTAACCTTTACATGCCTTCTCACAGATCTGCCTCGTCAATTCGCAATTCAAATTCGCTCTGTCAATTTCTGGAATCCCCTCCCTATCAAAATTCGACATTCCCCATCCATATCCACATTCAAAACCCTCCTATTCCAATTGCTATCCCAAAAACAGTCAGATAGTTGCTAACCACTCGAGCTGATTTCAATAGAGAATTTGATACATTTTTATTTTTTAATTCTTTATTATTTTCTTAAAAGTGTATACTGGTCTATCAGTGCAAATAGCTTTAAGTGTCTTGTCATATTATTAATTGTTTTGTATATAGTTTCGTTTGTTTTTTATATAGAATTTTTACCTTATATTTTTTTTACCTTATTTCTTTTTTTCGATTGATTTTATAATGGCCAGATGTAATATTTTAATTTTGTTCTATTTTGTTATTCTCAAGGGACTGTGTCCCAGAATAAAGTTATTTTTCTATTCTATTCTATCTCGGATGTTTCCGGGACTCTCAAACCACTAATGTCAGAGTAATTGCACAGGAAAAGTATAGTAAAAAGACCTTTTTTATTTCCTTTAGATGAACTTTAATAAAAGAGTTTATAAAGAGAATTTAAATACCTAATGGGGCAAAAAAAAAAGAAGGAAAAATTAAGTTATTTTCCGAACTAATGAAAATTTCAAATTTTCTGCCTGATATTTAGTCTGAATTGACAAAACATGCCGATATTTTAGAACAATTAGGCATTGTATTATGGTTTTCTAATAATATCCTGATGATTAATTTTTGTATTTTTTCTTTGTTATATTTTTAATAAATTTATAGAGATAATGAATTTTAAAATAATTGAATTTTTACGCAAGATAATATGCTTAGACGATGAAGAGAAATGATTTACGCAGGTGAATTGGGGATTATGATAAGTATGAAGGCAATGGAATTCTCTGAACGGATTTTGTTCCAACGATATACCAAATACTTGTATATAATAACTCTTTGGATTGGAAATTTATGTAGACCTACTTCTTGTTAGGGTATTGAATTGTATTGCGAATTCTCCAAGGATGTATGAAGGAGGATAAATTGTCCTGCTGTGGGCGGAAGGCAGAGGAAATAAGACTTAGGGGTGGTGTGGGTGGTACAAGTGGGTTTCAAAACACTTTAAGGGAAAGTCGTATTTCTACCTCGAGTGTGGGTACATCTTGTGAATAGCCCTTCACACACCTAATACGCTGATCCTACACGGTCAGTCGGAATGACATTCCGAGATTGATGTACAGATGGATGAATATCAAAGCTTCAATCGCAAGAAGTAGAGAAGAGACAGAGGTAGAAGTTGTGAGAAGACTAACCTTACTACTAGCTAGGTTATTACGATTTTCACATTAGGTATAATACACAATTTAGTTATAGAAAAAAATAATCTTAAATTGTTGTGTATATTTGTCAGTTCTTTTACCTTTTTTCTCAAATAAATTTATTATGTTCGCAATATTTTTTATTAATTTTTGTTAGTAGTTGGTTCATATTCTTCTAATTTTTTCAAAACGATTTTCGGACATTAGGAAGGAATTATTATATCTCATTTTTGTCCTATAAGGATATGGCAAATAAGCTTTATTAATGAAACAAATTATTATTAATGGAAAATGAACCAAATTCTTTCTGCCTGGCGTCAGTCTGATTAATACTTGTAAGGTTCATCAGGATTGAAGCAATCTAATCCTTGTCAATCTTGGGACTGTCATTCATGACTGAACGTTTCACATCGATGCTCTTAATTCGTTGCAAATAGGAACAATGAGATCCTTGCAGATTGATGAAAATTCATAACTTGTTTTGTTACTGGTTCCTTTTTTCGCTACTCCGAAATGGAGGCCAGTTTCTCAAGATCAACCAAAGCTTGGTATTCTTAGATTCATGTATCTGCGTATTGACAACTGGGATGCAAATATCGAAAACAATACCTATATGTATATATATATATATATATATGGGGGGGGGCTGGGGTAGCCGTACGGGCTAAGGCACTTGGATGGGTGACCGCCCATCGGCCAGGGAAAGTCACGCTGCCCGAGATTCCCTCCTCCTCCTGGTATGTGAGACCCGTCAGCCTACTAGAGGCCACTCACACCGACCGGGCGTAGGACTGATGACCCTAACCCCTTGTACATAAATCAGAAATCGGGATGTTGTCTAGGAGACCATATCGCGCGGACAAAGATCTTCAAGGTCTGTTGCACCAACCGAAAAAAAAATATATATAAATAAAATGAAAATTTTGTCTGTACATTGAATAGAATCAATCCGTTCTATGATATCTTTCCGTTTCATACATTGCAGACACCAAATCACGTTTTAAAAAAAGTTTTGTCTGTCTGTATGTCCGCATTGCATCGAAATTTTGTCAAGGGCACGCTCAGCAATAGCTTATTGTAGACTTTTGAAAATTTTACATTATATTAAGGTTTGCTTGACTTAGAACATAGGCTTTAAATGAAACCAAAATATTGAGTAGAACCAAAGTTATGAATTCTTGAGTAATTTGTCTAGAGATCTCGGTTAATGTTGATAATAAATGTTAATAATAAACACATATGTTTATAGGTTAAAAAAACATCAATATAAATAAAATAAAGGCTTTGTTTGTATATTGAATAGCATCAGCCCGTTTCATGATATCTTTCCGTTCCATACATTACTGACACCAAATCCACTTTTAAAAATTTTTTTGTCTATCTGGATGTCCTCATTGTCCAACGAAATTTTGTCACGGGTAAGCTCGGCAATGGCTAATGTTAGAATTTTGAAATGTTGACATTACCTTTAGGTTTGCTTGACTTAAAACATATGCTTTAAATGAAAACGAAATATTGAGTAGAATTAAAGTTATGAATTCTTGAGTAATTTGTCTAGAGATCTCGGTTAATAAACATATGTTTATAGGTTAAAGAACATCTATATAAATAAAATAAAGGTTTTGTCTGTACATTGAATAGAATCAACCCGTTTCATGATATATTTCCGTTCCATACATTACAGACACCAAATCCACTTTTAAAAATTTTTTTGTCTATCTGGATGTCCTCATTGTCCAACGAAATTTTGTCACGGGTAAGCCCGGCAATGGCTAATCGCAGACTTTTGAAATTTTGACATTGCATTTAGGTTTGCTTGACTTAAAATATAGGCTTCAAATGAAAACAAAAAATTGAGTAGAACCAAAGTTATGAACTTTCGAGTAATTTGTCTAGAGATCCCGGTTAGGCAGTTACTTACTACGATTTCCATCCCAACCTACTCTATCGCGAGCGACATTTAAAAGTTGTACTATTCAACTGGTGGGAAAAATCCGGAATATTGAACATCTGTAACACGTTGTCGCATTACACGGGTAAAACACACTCATTTTTCAACTTTGTCCGATCTTCCCGTTCAAGGTGTCAATCGATTCAACTTCCCGAGCCTAACAAATATTGTCGTATTTTTAGGATTAACCAAACGAATTAGCCGGAAATCAGGAAAATAAACTCCCAACAATTTCATCACGCCTGCCACAATATTCAGATCAAGTTCTAATTTTACACGGATGGAGATGACTCAATGTTCAATGTTAGTTTGGTTATTTTGCCAGCGATAAACTCAGCAGAGTTTAAAGAAGTAGAGAGACTACAATTCCTTTTGATTAATTGATCGACTCCATGATCTCCTCGCTTCATCATAAATGAAAATTAAACACTTAACAAATTTTAATGGATCGGTGGTGGTCGGTTTAGTTGTTTGGCACCTAAACAAATAGCCGAATAACAAAGTTTTTGTTACGACTATTGCGAAATCTTGACTTCCAAAAGCCCCGCCATAAAAAATTTCAGAACAACCCCCTCTCTTCTCCCGACCAAATTTTATGAAATTGAATTTGGACCCTCCCCCCCCCCTTAAAATAAGATTCTCATCAGATCCCCATCTCAAAAAAAGATTCTCAAATATTAACTCTACACCCGTCAACAACGGGTACATCAGCTAGTATATATATATATTGTATGCATACAGCTCTATTGCATAGATCTAAACGTATGGTTTTTGGCCTTCCGCGCGGTCTCACTCAAGTTCCCCTCATGCTACCAATCAAGACTTCAAGATCTTGATAATTAGTTTTAATCCTGATCGTTGGATCCACTATTACTGGCTCCTTTTCTATTGCATAACGCTATAAAATGTCTGCAAACCTTGTTCAGCTTCTGTATCTAGCCAGTATACTTCGAAAAAACATCTATAGTTGTTCATTTCTAGGATTTCAGACAATTGTTTCTTTATATTATTGTGTTGGCAGAATACAGGAAGCATGTTGTTAGGAAATTAGCGCAATACATGATCTAGACTTTCAGACTTTCGACCACATTTCCGATAGGACATTAATTAACATTTAATTAATAGTGACTTAAATTTATGAAACTTTGATAATTTAAAATATCAATATTTTTTCAACTTCCCTAATCGACACTCCTGTTTACAATACAATGTTGCCTTCACTTACATGTGTTGTTGAGGTTAAAGGTTAGGAGGCTTTAGAACAAAGAAAAATGTTTCCAATGGCCAAGTTGAATTCGGTCATTGTCATTGTATGCAATTAAAATGTGCTCAGTCATCGGCGATATGCAATAAGGAAAATGTCCTCTACTAAGAATCCGTTGGTAGAGCTTATTTTTCCTTCAACATATAATACGTAATTATGTAATTAAAATAAAATTACTCTGAAACGTCTGGAGAAGTAGGAAATGGAGAAAATAATTCTATTTAAATTAAATCAAAATCCCTCTCCCCACTGATAAATGCTGAATGGAGAAAATAAATAAACAAAAATTTTGATAAATCTAAAATTTTGATTGCCGTGAAAATTTACAAGAGGCCCACTATCGGATCCAAAATTTCAAATTTAAAGAGGGGGAGAGCTTCAAGCCAAGATTAGCAAAGTTGTTTTTATCAATACCCCTACTTCGCCATTTATGCCAAGGTTCTTGAGGTACACAACGAAATATATTCTAGCCTGAGTGGGAAGGTCGAGAAATATTGGGTCCGCCACGAAATAAATTTTAACCCACCCAGGCCGAATTCGAACTGGTGTCGTTAGACCCCAGAATGTTAATCTTTACGCTTTAACACGCTCGGTCATCACGACCTCAAGATAAGGAAAGTTGGCTGGCTGTTTCAGGCAGTTGAAAAATAAATTTATAAAAATAGTGAATTTAATGTTTGTTCTGTTCTTTTCCCAATAAGACAAATATGCCTTTTAGAAGATTTCATCCTGTGCTTCATTTGAGATTCATTCATAATCAAAACTGTTTAAACTTTTTTTAAATTTATTTATTTAGAAATATAACAATCTGTTACATGGACAATAATTGTAGTGATATATGAACACTTTCACACCATATATACATAAAATATAAAATTAACAAAAGTAAAATAATAATCAAAAACTATGTACAATAAAAAAATAAAATAAAATAACCTTTAGATAAGTAAATTAAAAAAACATAAAAAGTCATACCTACATAAAATATATACAATCAAGCAGGTAAACCCAAGCCAGGCTTCTCTCTCCAACTATGGAAGGAAAAGCAGGACTCCAAGAGATCCCTGCGCTACTCAACCGCGTCACTGGTGCTAAGGCCAGTGGGTTTAAACTTTTAAAATACAAAATTCAATACCTTTTCGAAAAAATCCCTGAGCGTTCCAAAATGGATTTCTGCATTATAATTCTTGTCGTTGTTGATATACTCCATGAGTGCTTTGTAGTTCCGGTATTGGTGCAACCATTCGGATTCGTTGACGAAGCGGAAGTCTCCACCGAGGGTTATCAAGGCGGTATTGCTTCTCGAAAGGCTTCCGATTCTTCCGTAAAGCCCGAGGATAATCTGAAATGTTTAATTTTATAAAATTGACTAACTTAAATATTACATAGAGTAGTATACAGAAAGGAGGGGCTAAATTAAAGAGGGAGAGAATTCCAAAAAGTGATGGAGCGGGCAATGGAGGAGTTTGAAAGAATGAGGCTGATCTTTGAAAAGAGGTGTAGAGGTCAGAAGGTCGAGATTTTGTGGAGATGGAGTGGATGGAGTATTTATGGCGAAGATGAGAGAGGAAACTAAGAAACTTTGGGTTCAAGTAGAAGATGGCGGAAGAGATGAAACAGTTTTAAGGTGCAAATTGATCGACGAGATAAATGAGCAATATAGTGATTTCAGGATAATGTTTGATCTATGATAATGCCTAGGTTTTTTTAGCATCGTTTGACCTTAAACCATTTAAGCTTGCCCAGCTACTATATTGGTCCTCTTGAATTGAAACCTGCAGCACCTAAATCAGAGAGCGAAAAGGATAAATAAATTTGAGAATCGTTGGCGTAGAAGCTGAAGAAGACAGGAGATATAAATCCTGGGCCACTCCTGAGAAACTGCTTGGCAACGTTGAGAGAAGAATGATCTTAACCAAAATAAGGAGCTGTTGGAAAAGGACAACCATTTTAATTTGGAAAAAGGATCGGTGGAGTTCAAAGATTGATGAGGGTCAAATTAATTCGACTGTTCAAGAAATTTGTAATCTTGGGATAGCACAAGTCTTTCGAGAGGTTTTAAGAAGTTGGAAAGGATTAAGATTGGGCAGAAATCGTCGGAAGAAGTAGAGTTAGAATTTTTAATTAAACGATGAACAATAGCATTTTTCCAAGTAGATAGAAGATACTAAATTCTGGAGAGAAAGCGTACATATAAAAAGGAGAACCAGAAAGCATAATTAATTTGGTGGGTATTAATTGAATACCATCTGGGTCAGTTAAATGGGAATGTGATTTCATCCCAGCGGATATGAGGTCTGTGAGGATTCGTACAACTATAAATGGTAAAAAAAAAAATAATTCAAAATCCTAATAACAAAAATTGTTCTTCGAATAACTAGAAAACTATTTGTCGCCTGAAAAAATTCCCTACAAAATTAAATAATTTTTTTTTAAATCTGGCTAGTATTAGCAAGGATTAGTGTTGCCCAAAATCAGTGTTGGTCTTGCATTTGCAAGACCAAGACTAAGACCGCCTCACTGTTACAAGGCCAAGACCAAGACCAGTAAAAAAAAAATAATTTTTTGAATATAAGTTAAGGCAAAATAGTTACTAATGCTTGAAAATTTTAGTTAATATATGTAAAGAATTGGTATAACCAATATACTTTTGACTTTAAATCTTCTAATTTTTCATTCGGGCTTAGTTAGGTTTCTCCTTTTTAAAAAAAACACAGTAATATCTCTATAGTACTAGGTAGGTAAAGCTTGATAGCTAACAAGACCGTTGTAAGACTCTTGCGCAAGACCAAGACCTAGACCAAAACTGAGTTTACAAGACCAAGACTCGACTCGGTCTTGCTTTTGGGCAACACTAGTTAGGACATAGCGTATGTTAGTTTGAGTCGGTTTTATTCAAATGTTTCATTGGAACCTGATCAATCAAGGCTTTAAAATATCTTTGAATATTATTTCTCGAAGGTGTTTTTTTTTGTCGGTATTCCCTCCATATCTTTGTCAATTCTTCATCGAATGATGGAACTCTCATTTTGGAGATTTCTTCTTCTTCAAGTGGGAAAAATATTCACCCAGAAATTTCAGGAAAAAAAAATTATGACGGAAAAGAAACTTTGTTTGCAAATAACTCTAAAAGTATATTATAATAATAGTAAGTGGCCAGTGTTTTACCTGCCTCCCGCAGTGCTACATTCTACGCCCTGATGAAGACCTACAAAGTGGGTCGAAACGTCGGCAAAAAAATTAAATATTACTATTTTCATAACTCCTTCTCATATTATATCACGGTCAAACATCTCTACATCATTATAAATTTTATTGTTGATTGGACCCACGGTTATTTGAAAGGTTGCTAAATCCTCTACAAAGCCGAAAAAAAAATGTGCTAATAATGGTTTTTAAACTAATTGATCATATTTAAAAAAAATAACATTCACGTTTCGGATAAATAGAAGTTGTCACCGTTAAAAAATGTACCAGTATAAAATCAGGAAGGGGATGGTAGAGGAGTGAAAAATGACGCAGATATAAATAGCCCGGTAACCTTGTAACCATCGTAAGTTGCATTGAATTAGGGTTGAAGGTTTCTTTTTATTTTCTTGTCTGGGATATGAATGAGATGCAAAATCCAAGTTTTCGACCTCGGCGCCCCCCGGATCACTTTTGAATATCCCAAAAACTGCTATATTTTCGATTTGGCCCCATTTTATCTCCATGAAGAAAAAAGTTCGACAAAAAAATCTATAAATGTTTAAACTAGATTAAATATGCTTCAATATAACTTCAGAACAGGCACAGTTAGTTAAACAGTTTACGAGATATAGATTTTTAAATTGTAGGCAATTTTATTGAATATTTAATAGTTGACTGCTGCATTCTTTTTTTATTCTTCTAATTTTATTTACTTATTTATTTTTTTTTTTGGTTTTATTTAATTTTGTTTTTTCTTTTCCCACATTCCTTTATGTCCATTATTTCATATTATATCCTTATTCCTTTTCTTTCAATCTATCCTGTAGATCTGTAGAAGTACATTCACATTTGCATATATTACATATTACACTACAACAATTGTTACCATCTATTTACTTCAGTATAGGATAGCTTTCTCTGTTTATATTTTAATGCACTTACTGTTTATAATTTTAATAAGCTTATTCACATTGTTTATAATTTTTAGTTGGAGTGTTCAGTCCTTTTTGACTGAACACCCCAACTATTCTTCTCTTCATTATCCACGACAGTCAAACAATTACCAATTATGTTTATAATTTTTTGTTATAATATTATGTAACTTCCACAATTCTCTATCTTTTTATATCTTGTTCGTTCTAGCCCCGAAGAAGACCTGCAAAGTCGGGTCGAAACGTTAGCTTTTAATAAAATATTTTTTTCTCTATTCAGCCTGTTTATGACCCCAGACCATCTTCATTTAGAAAATTTTATTTTCCATTTAAATTAGTTTTCATGTTTGATCATATGCAATTGTCTTTTATCTTCAATAACCTGCCCGATATGAATCGGCGAAGTAAATATTTATTCATTTTAATATTTTGAAGGAGTGATGGCGAGGGGGAGGAGAAAGGAAGATTTGGTTGAAGAGTGTAGTCCGTGCTTCTTCCCTCCACATCACTATAAATTGCATATCGTTGTATTCCTTGTAACTATATATTAAAAAAAAAAGGCAATGTTCCCACAAAAAAAGTGACTGCACTGTCCCAAAATGGCGTCCAAACATGGCTGAGTGGCAACTTTGAGTTGAGTTAGTTTTTCGGTCACTGTGATTCAGACGTTGGCTTAATTTCGTCATAATTATTCTTTTATTAAAACTTGATAGTTAGAGTATAATAAAGCATCAAAACTATTTTAAAAACGCTGCAAATTATTTCACAATGGTTTATTATTTCCAAACAATTATACATCTAAAGTAACATTACCTTCCTAATTACAAAGAAAAATAAATAAAAGGTGATTCCAATTATTGGACAAAACTTTTTTTTTTTAATCATTAGTAATATGCTAAAAAACCTAGCATTACTTCAGCAACACATTCAAAATTCAAAAACCAAAACAAAGGATATAACCTTTGTGACAATATTCACAAAAACGTGTATACTTTTTGAGTTATTCGGAATTTGATTTTACAATCCCTCGTAACTTTTCGTTGAAGTATGTTATATAGAAAAAATTTAAAGATGACTATAGAAAATGACTTTAGCGAAGTTTCATTGAAATCTGTTCATTCTTTTAGGAGCTACAGTCTATAGAAACGCAGGTTTTTCGACCGCCATTTTGAAAGTAAAATCATCCTCGGGTGACCTCTGATTTTAAATCCAAATTAGAAAAAAATCGGTCCAGTAGTTTCGGAGAAAATGCTCGGACGGCGAACGGACAAAAAAAATTTTATTCGTTTTTCGAATTCTACTTATCCTGAAACGTGAAACATCAAATTTTGAGAGGAGGTTAAGTTTTTGAATTTTTTGGTCGATCACAATGGTTCGTTATTTTTTTTTATTATTTCTTTATTGAGTATTAACAATCTGTCTCTTGGAAATTGGTCATAGTGAGGTAGGATGACATTCACACTATATGTACAAAAAAAAAAATTAAATAAATAGAAGCAAAATAATAATCAAAAGTATACACGATAGATAATAAAATAAAATAACCTAAAAATAAGAAAATTAAAACTAAGAAAAAAAAACAACACATGCATACCTATATACAAACAGGCGAGAGAACTCCAGGAGAACCCTGCGCTACTCTCTCAAACGCCTCACTGGTACTAAAGCCAGCGGAGATTGATCGAGAGCACTTTAGCCACATACACTCATTTCTTGAGTGGAGAATCTGGCCATTGCCAGAACTCCAATATATAAAATCTACAAAAGGTCGCGAGGCCACTGCCGTAGATTCATTATTGAAAATAATAAACAAACATTATTGCCGTTGGCTATAAAAAATAGCAGGGAAGTCAATTTTTTCAAGTCGTTCAAACTAAAATTGAAAATCAACCATCATTTGTAATTAAACGGCTAACAATAAACGATAAGGCCTTAATAGTATTAATGATTATTTTGATACCATTTAGTTAGATAAAAATCGTTATAGCTGTTTTTAAGAAAATCGTAAAAATGTGTTACATCTGAGGTATATACAAACCTCAAATATGCAATTTCTGATTTTATTTCAGTATGATAACACATATATGTTTTGTACACAATATGTTGTTATTTAGTTCGAAATATCTTAACTAAAATACTGTTATAAAACTGTTGTTTTTCTATTTTGGAATTGGGGGAGGGGGGAGAGCTGAGCAAAAATTAATCTTGCTCCTTCTGGAAA